CATCCTGAATAAAATTTGATTTGTAAATTAATAGAAAGTAAATGTTTTGCATGTTCAGAAAGAGTTGATCAGTTTTAAAAGTTAAATGTTTATTTTCTTTGAACAGAAAAACCAAAAGCTACAGTGAAAGTCCAGCCAGCTGATCATGTGTTCATCAGAGAGAGAGTCACTCTGACATGTGAAATAGAAAGTGGAGATTCCTGGAATTATGAATGGTATAAGAATCATAATCTTCTCAGAGATGCTCAAAGGAAGAAATATGAAATCTCTAATGTTGATCAGTCTCATGCAGGTGTTTATACCTGTAAGGGAACACAGTCAACAGGCCGACTATACACACACACCAGTGAAGCTGTTACACTGACTGTATCAGGTGAGTGTGGTGACTTTATTTCTATCATTAAAACTGCACTGTGTAAGGTTTCTATTGAAGTAGTAGGATAAAAAATACACTAAAATATGGTGTCCATGTGCTGCTGTGAGTCACCAATACAGCCTGAAATAATTTCAAAGTAGAGCAGCCGGAATAGATTTGGCAGGGTTTTTTGGACCACTACGTCTTTAAGTATTAATGTCATATGCATAGGCTCAAAAAGAAAGACCAGCTAAATGTTTAGGTCTTAATTATAAAATGAACATTATACTGATGAAGAGACAGACAACAGTAGATCAAGCATTTACTTCCACAGCAGACCTACACCATGTTTTGACTGAGTTCTCTTTGAATACTCGTTCAATGTGCTTGGAATCATCAGATTCATCTACTCAGGAGTGCTGAAACACAACTGATGTTACATCCTACATCTGCTCTTAGCCACATGTCTTTTGAGACTTTAACACAAATCTATGTCTGGTTTTAAAAGGTGGAGAAAATTTTTAGCAAACCTTAGTAAATTAAGTGGGATATGTAATCAGCTGTAGTTCCAACATCTCCACCTTTTTCTTGCACAACTACTAGATTTTGCGTGACTTTCCCTCAAACACATATGCATGAATGAGACCCACATTCTGCGTTTGGGCTTAATTGGCAGTTTCATATATAACAAGCTTTCAGAATGCATCAGAATCTGGCGTAAAAAGCTCAGTACATCCAGCCCACTGTATGAGTTCATGTAGCTCATCTCATAGACACTGGCAACGACAGCTGATGGGAATAGTTGGCTTTTGTGAAAAGTTTGTTAGAGTTTGTCCACAACAAGTAAGTGGAAGATGCAGAAGAGTAGTAGCAGTGATCGACCTCAAAACAAATCTAGAATAAATTTCTCTCTTTAAACTTACAGAGAATGAATGTTGATGAATACTGTCATGCATGTTCAGAAAGAGTTGATCAGTTTTAAAAGTATTTATCTTCTTTGAACAGAGAGACCAAAAGCTACAGTGAAAGTCCAGCCAGCTGATCATGTGTTCATCAGAGAGAGAGTCACTCTGACATGTGAAATAGAAAGTGGAGATTACTGGAATTATGAATGGTATAAGAATAATAATCTTCTCAGAGATGCTCAAAGGAAGAAATATGAAATCTCTAATGTTGATCAGTCTCATGCAGGTGTTTATACCTGTAAGGGAACACAGTCAACAGGCCGAATATACACACACACCAGTGAAGCTGTTACACTGACTGTATCAGGTGAGTGTGGTGACTTTATTTCTATCACTAGAAACTGCACTGTGTAGTTTTTCTATTGAAGAAGTAGCAGGATGAAAAAAACACTAAAATATGGTGTCCTGTGCTGCAGTGAATCACCCAGTGAAACTTAAAATAGTTTCAAAGCTAGAGGGGTTGGAACGATTTTTACAGGGTTTTTCGGACCATGTCACACATCTTTAAGTAGTAACTTCACTCAGGGTCAAAAAAGAAAGTCCTCCTTGTTATTTAGGTCTGTAATGCAAAAATAACATTATACTAATGAAGAATAATGACAATAGTAGATCATTCACTCACATCCTCAGAAGACACGTCCTTCACCAAGTTCTGACTGAGTCATCAGATTCATTTACTTAGGGGGTTTATAGCACAATCATCATTATCAGCTATCATTCTGCGCATTGCATGCAATTACACATTTTCACCAAAGAGATCTCCAAATCCCCAAACTTACATAGTGTATCTCTAACAGTTAAAGGTGCAGGTGTGCATTACTGCTATGAAAATGTCACCTAACTGTATAAACTTAAGAAGTTATAGTTGATGATCAGCATTTATCTAAAATGTATCTGAAATTTATCTCTGAGATTTATCTCAGAAGATTCTTTGAGCTCATGTAGCTCATCTCATAAACACTGGCAACATCAGCTGATGGGAATAGTTGGTTTTGTGTACAATACTTGTTAGAGTTTGTCCACAGCTAGAAAATACAAGAGTAGTGGTGATCAACTTGAAAACACAGCTGGAATAAAACTCTCTCTGTAAACTAATAGAGAGTGAATAAGTTTTAAAAGTATTTATCTTCTTTGAACAGAGAGACCAAAAGCTACAGTGAAAGTCCAGCCAGCTGATCATGTGTTCATCAGAGAGAGAGTCACTCTGACATGTGAAATAGAAAGTGGAGATTCCTGGAATTATGAATGGTATAAGAATAATAATCTTCTCAGAGATGCTCAAAGGAAGAAATATGAAATCTCTAATGTTGATCAGTCTCATGCAGGTGTTTATACCTGTAAGGGAACACAGTCAACAGGCCGAATATACACACACACCAGTGAAGCTGTTACACTGACTGTATCAGGTGAGTGTGGCGTCTTTCTTACATTATTTCCACCAGAAAGCTGAAATCTGTCAAATTTTTTGTTAAAATTGGAAGAAGTAGCAGAAAGAAAAAAGACTAAAATGCAGTGTTTCTGTACTGCAGTGAGTCACCCAGTAAAGTCTAAAATAGTTTAAAAGCCAGAGGGGATCAGAAAGTTTTTTACAGGGTTTTTTTCAAACCACGTCATGCGTCATTATGTATTAACGTCACTCAGGGTCAAAAAAGAAAGTCCTCCTTGTTATTTAGGTCTGTAATGCAAAAATAACATTATACTAATGAAGAATAATGACAATAGTAGATCATTCACTCACATCCTCAGAAGACACGTCCTTCACCAAGTTCTGACTGAGTTCTCCTTGAATTCTCTTTCAATGAGCTCACAGTCATCAGATTCATTCACTCAGGGGTTTCATTGCACAATTAATGTGACAAAATATTGTTCTGCATGTTGCATGCAATTACATATTTCCACCAAAGAGGTCACCAAATCCACAATACTCACCTAGTGTAGCTTTTACAGTTAAACGTTAGAAGATGAAGAAGAGCAGGAGTGATCAACTTGAAAACACATCTGGAATAAAATTGTCTCTGTAAACTAATAGAGAGTGAATGTTGTTGAATACTGTCATGCATGTTCAGAGAGAGTGTATAAGTTTAAAAAGTATTTGTCATCTTTGAACAGAGAGACCAAAAGCTACAGTGAAAGTCCAGCCAGCTGATCATGTGTTCATCAGAGAGAGAGTCACTCTGACATGTGAAATAGAAAGTGGAGATTACTGGAATTATGAATGGTATAAGAATAATAATCTTCTCAGAGATGCTCAAAGGAAGAAATATGAAATCTCTAATGTTGATCAGTCTCATGCAGGTGTTTATACCTGTAAGGGAACACAGTCAACAGGCCGAATATACACACACACCAGTGAAGCTGTTACACTGACTGTATCAGGTGAGTGTGGCATCTTTCTCACTTCTTCTATCATTAAGAGTTTAAAGTGCATTACAACTGTAAAAACATCATCCAGTACTATATATCAGCAAATTTCTCTCAGAGATGACACCATGACTTCATGTACAGTCTGGCGCAAAACACTTTTTTATAAAATTTTCAGTCAAAATTACCATAAAGTAGGCCTAGAAGCTATTCATTTTTTTGTGTAGGGAAAAAAGCAGCAAATACGTATTTAACAGAAAATTACACAGAAGCCTCAACAACAAAATATATTCTGAAATTCAGTCGTTACTGAGCCCCCTTTTCGCCTTTATTACACGTTCTATTCTTACTGAGAGTTTTTCAAAGAAACATCAGAAGTTCATTGTTAGGACTGATTATTCCACATGTATATTTTTACAGACATAGTTTTTTTCTCCATTTTCAAAATAATACTCTCTTCATCAACATTGTTTTTAAAAACCTCTCTGTCCATAGAACAACACAAAGACAGTGCAAAAGCAACTCAGTAACTGAGCATGCCAGCCCAGTACAGGGTGACAACACCTCATAATGTGATGTGATTTACTTCAAGAAGAACACCGTAAACATGCACAATGATCAAAATATACAGCACGCAAAGTGACAGCAGTGTGTTACAAACACAGTAGGCTTTGGTTTGCAGAAGATGGATGGATGGATGGATAGATGGATGATACCTGTATAAAACCTTTTCTATCATTAAAATCATTTGCAACAACAGCAATTTATCCATTTTTTTTACTGTGATATTTTCCTCTGGTAGTACTAATACTAAATTACTAATTAATTTTTACACAATCAGAAATTATTTTTATTTTATTTGACAGTTAAAGTTAAAAAGCCTCTCACACAGTTAAAGACAAACACAAAGGCGATAGACAAGCCAAAACAGAATTATCTGATGATGTACAGTACAGTGCTCAGTTCTTTTAAAATGAATGCTCCACTGCAAACATTAAAAATGATCTGTGTCATTAACAAAATCAGATTTGAAAAACTCCATAATTCAAATGAAGAGAACATTTTGAATGTAGGTTTGATCTGAATAACTTTGTTAAAGTGCACCTTTCATTTGATGGAATAATGAACATTTAGAGATAATAGTGATTGACTGAGATTTGTGTCAGTGTGTCAATTATACAGGCAATAGTAGAGTTTTTCTTTTGATCTACTCCAATCTGGTTCCTTTGTAAAGTAATAATAATGTATTTAGAAATTAATAATGATGTATTTACTACATTAGAAAGATCTCAGTCTTGTTGGAGATGTTTTATTCTTTTATGGCTCATAGTGAGTAACTCTACTATCCGTTTCCTTAAACATTAAACCAATGTGAAAGTTACGTTTCTAAATAACATAAAGCTGATTGTCTAAATTCTCTCAACTGAACTTTGTTCTTCATCAACAGTAAAAGTCAGACCTACAATCACCTCAAACCATGAAGGAGCTGCACTGACAGGAAACACAGTGACTCTGTACTGTAACCTCCATCAGTCTGCTGGATGGACGTTTTACTGGTCCAAACACACACAGAACTCTGAGAAGGAGCCCATCACCAACGTCTACACCATCAGCTCAGTTAGTCTCTCTGATGGAGGTCAGTACTGGTGCAGAGCTGGCAGAGGAAACCCAGTCTACTACACACACCACAGTGCTGCACTCTGGGTAAACGTTAGTGGTGAGTAAGAGATTTTCGTGAGTGATACTATATAGCTCTGAATGTTAACAGCGTCAATAGAATTAAACAATCTATTTCACAATCACTGGCACTTTAAAGCCATCATAAATCTGAGGATCTTTATATGTAGTAGTTTAGTCCAGACCAAAGCAGAAACATATATATTGTTCCACTTTATAGTTCTGGTTGGCTTAGTGTTCACTAAGCATATTTCATATCAATCCATAAAATGTAAACAAAGGTCACTGATTGGGAAAAGAATTATGACATACATTTGGTGAAAATAACTACAATAATACCCAACAAACATTCTTAACCATGTTGTTCTCTGATCTAACCAAACCCTCCTCAAAGGACCTGCACCAGGGTTTGAACAGCAGTGTTCTCTAACAAATTACACTAACAGAGAAATCTCATCAGAACCGAATCTGCCAGGTGTGGCCATGAAATCATCGTGCATTTTACTTCCATATGATGTATTTCCAAGATAAACACAGTATCAGGGAGGATCTCTCTATCTGAGAGCTTCACTCACCAGTGTAAGTGGTGAAAGGGGAGGTGAAACATGATATTATTAGCTGAAATTATTTTTCCTGACTGCTGGTTCACAGTGACATAATCAAAAATCTGAAGATGTTTTACAGACAAAAGTCACTGAACTTTGCTGAAAGATTACCAGAAAATAAGAATTTTAGTTTTTTAAATAATTTGATGCTGTAACATGTTCCCCTGTTTTTGCTCTGCCTCCATCTGTGTCTGCCCTTGTTTTCCTTCCCAAGTCCAAGGGCTTGTCTCACACAGCAAGTTCAACAGAGACAGGCTTCCTGACTAAGTTTCAGCTTCACAAACCCCAACAAATGGAAGATGAAGATTCTTGTTTCACAAAGACATGAAGATTAGATATAATCTAACACACTTTCATAAGAAAGGGGGCAGTCAAAGGAAAATAAATAATTAAAAAACAGGAGTTTCCAAAGTTGGATTTCAAAAAAAATATTAAAAGACTGAGAGCAAGTGGAACCACCATGCATAATCTGCTAGACCACCAATTGTCACCATCAGATAAACAGCACTGAGCTCCAGTTTTGCTTCAGACAAAGGGTGACCTTTGCACAGTACTGTGCATCAAATGACGAGCAAAATAACTAGTTTAATCTCAGAACGTTGAAATTTTAATAACAGTGTTGGAAACTATTATTTTGTTACAGACAGCACTAAAACTGTGGCGTCCATAAAGCCTGATAAACAGGTGTTTAAAGGAGAGCCGGTCACTCTGAGATGTGACATACAGGCAGGAGGAGACACTGAGTGGACTTACAGCTGGTATAAAGATGACCGTTTGTCCCCAAACAGAAGAACACAGGAGTTCACAATCAGCTCTGTTACAGAGTCTAACGGTGGTAAATACACCTGCAGAGGAGAAAGAAAACATGACTCTCAGAGCTCAGAGATCAGTGATGCTGTTACACTGACTGTGTCTGGTGAGTCTGTGGATTTGTTTTAATATTCTCATTAATTATACTGTATGTAATGATCTTATCACTGTGTATAAACTTGATTTAGTCTATTATATTCTCCATGTTCTCTCTGTCAGATGTAGCTCTGGCAGTATTGAGTGTGTCTCCACAGAGCTGGCTGACTGAAGGAGACTCAGTGACTCTAAGCTGTGAGGTTACAGGCTCCTCTACAGGCTGGACATTCAGCTGGTACAGAGCTGTTCTCTACAGACAAGGCTTACAACAAATAACAGACATTCATGGCAACATTCTGTATCATGTAGAGCTCCTGTCAGACAGCAGAAGAGGAGCTGGAGGCTCCTACACTCTCAGTCCTGCTGCTCTAAATCACACAGGAGTTTATGTGTGCAGAGCAGAGAGAGGAGAACCAGCCTATCAGACACAGTACAGCACTGCACAGACACTATGGATCACTGGTGAGGAAATACAAAAGTGAATTAGTATATATATGCTGTATTCATCAAAACCATTATTTCAGTGAACAGTATATTTGTTTAGCATTAGTATTGATCAACATGCTACATGTGTATCTTGTGTGCATGTTCAGGTTCATCTCCTCCAGCCTCTCTGATCATCAGTCCCAGCAGAACTCAACACTTTAGTGCTGGCTCTCTCTCACTGAGCTGTGAGGGACAGAGTGACTCTACTGGATGGAGAGTGAGACGATACACACACAGTGGGGAGGTGTCAGATTGTTCATCAGTTACAGGATCTACATGCAACATCAGCTCCCTCTACACATCCCTCACTGGAGTTTACTGGTGTCAGTCTGAATCTGGAGGAGGAAGTGATCCTCTCAACATCACAGTGCACAGTGAGTCTCCATTATTCTTAGCAGTATAGGGGTTCAATACAGAGGGCTACTGAATTTTTTAAAGCTATTTAATTACTGAATTAATTACTAAAAATTAAATACTTTCATACTAGAAAACACTTCAGTGTAGAAGGTTTTAATGCCCGTATAATGCCTTTATTAAGTCTTAACAAGCCAGTAGCTGGTTACTGGCTGCTCATTACTACTTTATTGAGCAATAACTAAAATGAATTAGGAGGATTTTTATTTGTGAATTATACATCATTAAGTATCACTGCTAGTCCACTAGCTTAGCTTTAGCTTTCCAGACTGAAAACATCTTTTTACTCAAGAATGCCAAACTCACAGAACAAACTAATCAGTGTTTTTTGACTTGAAACTTTGTAAAGCAATTTTCAGTCTAAGAAAGTCATTATTTAATAAAAAATTCTAAAAATAATTATGCGCACAATCAATACCTGAGTAATGGGTCTATTTGAAATGCACTTATTAATGAGCTCCATTATAAAATACCTCATTGGTTATGTTGCATCATTTTTTTACTGCTTCTTTAATAAAACATATTTTGTGTTTCCTTTTGATTCTTAGTTAATTACCAGCCTCTAACTAAAAAACTGACCTTCTACTCTAAAGTACAATTTCTAGTTAAAATGTAAACCTAAGAAGGTTTTACTTCAGTCTAGTTCATTTACTCTCTCCTACAGATGGTGATGTGATTCTGGACAGTCCTGTCCATCCTGTGTCTGAGGGAGATTCTCTGACTCTCCGCTGTTTATTTCGCTCCACAAAGCCCTCAAACCTCACAGCTGATTTCTATAAAGATGGATCACTGCTCCAGACCCAGACTACAGGAGAGATGATCATCCGTACTGTCTCAAAGTCAGATGAAGGTCTCTACCACTGTAAACACCCAGAGAAAGGAGAGTCACCAAAGAGCTGGCTCTCAGTCAGAGGTCTGCGGTTTTCAACAGAAAATCTCTAAAAATCATAACACTTATTTTCATTAAAATGCACTCAACAGTCATTTCTATTCTACATTACAGTGATTATACTGTGTGTGTATCAGGTTTGTCCAGTTCAGGAGCTCCAGTCTCAGTGCTCAGTCTGCTCAGTACTTTAATGGCAGTGCCTCCATATTTGCTGGTGTCCATCGTGCTGGGGGTCAAATGCTACAGAGCTCGAGGTAAGAACTCAGTCTCTCTGTGTGTTTATTCAAAGTGTCAGTAGTGGTTTTTTTACTACTATATAAAATCTGAAGAAAGACTGAAGTGAAATGTTCATCATTGTGTTTTTCACAGCTAAACCTGATGAAGAGAACAGAACATAAGCAGTGATGGAAGCTGGAGCATCTTGAGTGCTGAATATCAAGTTTGTGTATTATAGTTGCAATGATTAGAGACTGATAAGAAAAGACTGTTACACAAGTATCTTAAATAGACAGAATTTCCTAAATACTGTCCTAACTTTATCCTTCTTAGTTAATGTTCATAAAAAGTCATCAAATAAAATACTGCAGTGACGGTGCTGAATAATGAGGAGAGTTGAATGTGTGGCTGTTTATTTGGAGGAATAATGTTCTAAAGGCTAAAGCTTTGAGAAATGGAAACTGAAACTGCAGAGTTGAGATGTCACAGCAGAGGGCGCTGTCACAGTATTATTAATTTACAGTTTATCACACTTTAGTTTTGTTTTGTTATTTTTTACATCAGTAGCAGTGTAAAAAAACGTAGAAAACTTAAAAAATAAATAAAGCAGCTTTTAAACAGTTTTGATTAGGTGTTGTTTCGGCTGTGTGTGTATCTTCAGTCGCTAACAGACGTAACGAATGTGATTGAGTAGTTTAGGATCTCCATACTAGAGATAAGACTCTCTTAGATAAGATATGATCCCTAAATTAAGACAAGATTTGCTTCTACAGGAACTCCTGGTTTGGGTTTTAAGGAGTGAAGACAGAAAAGGACCTGAATACATTTAGACTGTCAGAATTATTTTAATAGGAATAATTAGAAGAAAAAAAAAATCTCTCATGCATTAAAAAACCATAAACCATATTGACGATATGCTCCTGTCTCTTTTAATGGTCCTTCATCCCTTAGCAAAATTTTGTGCCTTTCCTCTACGATATAAAAGGCCAGTCCATTTTCCATTTAAAGCTCCTTTGTGTTAATATAAACATTAAATATATTTTAGATATTTCAGTGTAAAATAATGAGGGAAAAATAGTGTAATTATTTTCATACTGTGTGGTGGATTTGAATCATTTTTTATTTTCTTTGGTTTTGTTTTGGTATTATTATATTTTTCCCGTTGTCATGGGTTTTGATGCTTAATGTATTCTAATCTGCTTGTTTAGTTTTATCTTTTGGTCCTTTATCTTTTCCTTATGACTAACCAAACTAAAATATTCATAATATAATGGTGACACAATGCAGTGTGGTCATATGTTTTAATATTCTCATTCTTGTATTGTATTAATTTATTGTAAACTAACTTTTGATCCTTTTTTTAATGCAGTTAAATTATATTTATAATAAAGTTGTGTGTTCATGAAAGAAAACATTGCTTTGATCTTTTATCTAGCTTAAGTGAAACATCAGTGAAACCAAATTAGAAGTACTTTTTTATTTTTGCTGATATCTGGAATTAACACATTAACACATTTTTCCTAACCACCACACTTATTACGTTCTGTTCTTTATTCAGAGACTGAAGTGCTAATTTACCTGTGGGGAAACCTCGGGGTCTTCTAGGCCTTCAGCCTAATGATTTCTGGGAACTGAAAAATACTTGTCTGCAATTTTAATGCATTTTTAAAAATATATAATCTTTATAGTTGTTGTATTTAATCTCTGCAATGATAAAACTCTTATTTTAATGTTAAGGTTTGGTTGGAAAAAAGGATTAAAATCCTGAAACAGAAAATGACACTTTGTTCTCCTCTGTGAAAGTTCTGGCTGCACTCCAGCTCACCACACAGCGTTTTACCACTGCTGTGATACAAACCCAATTCCAAAACAGTTGGGACAGCAGGTAAAATACAAATATAAACAAAGCAGTGATTTGCAAACTTTTACAGCACTTCAATGAAAATAGTGCAAAGAAGAAATAAAATATTTTATTAAATATAAATACTTCAGTGATTTCTTGTACAAGCCCAATTTCAAAAAAGTTGGGACGCTGCGTTAAATGTAAATAAATGTAAATAAAAACAGAATGCAATGATTTGCAAATCTCATAGACCCATATTTTATTCACAATAGAACATAGAACACATATCAGATGTTGAAAGTGAGACATTTTACAAATTCATGAAAAACAACTCATTTAGAACTTGATGGCAACAACGCATCAAGAAAATTTGATGGTTTGGGGGAGCATTAGTACACATGGCATAGGTGTTTTGCACATCTGTGAAGGCACCATTAATACTGAATGATATATATATGTTTTGGCAACAAATGCTGCCATCCAGACAGCGTCTCTTTCAGGGAAGGCCATTCATATTTCAGCAAAACAATGTCAAGCCACATTCTGCATCCATCACAACAGCATGGCTTCGCAGAAGAAGAGTCCAGGTGCTGAACTAGCCTGCCTGCAGTCCAGACCTTTCACTAATAGGAAACATTTGGCGCATTATGAAACAAAAAATCTGGCAAAGAAGACTCAGGACTGCTGAGCAGCTAGAATCCTACATCAGACAAGAATGGGACAACATTCCTCTCCCAAAACTCCAGCAACTGGTCTCCTCACTTCCCAGACGTTTACAGACTGTTGTTAAAAGAAGAGGGGATGCTACACAATGGTAGACACGGCCCTGTCCCAACTTTTTTGAGATGTGTTGCTGCCATCAACTTCTAAACAAGTTAATGAAACGGTAAAATATCTCACTTTTAACATCTGATATGTGTTCTATGTTCTATTGTGAATAAAATATGGGCCTTGAGATTTGGATTCTGTTTTTATTTACACTTATTTCCATTTTACACAGCATCCCAACTTTTTTAGAATTGGGGTTGTAAATATATGCTTCCAAATTTGATGCCTGCAACACATTCCAAGAACACTGGGATGCACAGTGTAAGACTGGGAAGTTTGTGGAAAGATCAAAAACTTTCCACAGCTCAACAGGTAACAGGTGATGCTATCATGACTGGATATAAAAGGACCTTTTTAATATCATATATTTATAATATATTTTTAAAAATTCTATCTCCTTCAACCAATAATTGAATTCTTCTTTTCCTCATTCATTTAGGGAAGGAATATGTAATTTATTGATGGACTAAGAGATTTAGTCAGTCTGTAGTTTACCCTCTCGTTCAGGATTCTCTTGAGAAACAGACAGAGCGAAGCTGCTCTGTGGGGAAAGCTGCGAGCCTGGACACTCGGATTTTACCGCGGATGGGCTTTAAACATCGGTGTTGGGGGCGGATTTTCTCAATTACTTTCTAAGACATTCTATACAGAACTCATTGTTCTAAACAGAACCATTCCTGTAACTAAAGAACCCCTAAAGAACCATCTTTTTAAATTGTTAGCAGAACCAATTGCCCATTGAGCCCTCAAGCGGACAATTTAAATCAACCTGAATGAAACTGGAAATTAAATTAAATTACATTAATTTGTTTTTTGAACCGATCAGTCAAACAACTGTTTATTTGTCAGTTAATCATTTATGGTTAATCTATTAATCTTTCACATCCTTCACTAGTAGAACTAACAGATTTTGGCCTCTTATAATTGTTCTCTGTTCTCCACTTCACCCCAAATGAGGTTACAAACTGCATGTGTAGGGTGTGGAGTTTCATTTCAACTTCGAAATTACTTCAATAAATAATAATAATAATAATAATAATAATAATAATAATAATAATAAGTGAATGAATGAAAAATAACAAAGTTAGATAAAGTTAATGTTTCTCATTCACTGCTTGCACAGCGACGCTCTCCTCGTTTGTCAAATACGTAAACGGCCAAATATCGAAGTGAGAGCTGCTTTTATTTGGCACGGTGTGTGACGTCACCGCCGAACTTGATTGTGATGTCATTCAGTAATTCGCAGTCAGTGACTGATTAGATCAATTTTAAAGCACCAACTCTCATTTATTAGGTTTAGTTTTTCTGCCATAAGCTAAAAACACAAAATATTTAAATTGTGAGATTTCAAACAAGTGTGTTTTGTAAAATCTGTTCCTCCCACAGAAGAGTAAAGAACTTCAGAGAAAGAAACCTTAAAAGTGATTTAATTCAATATTCATTCAGTGTTATGAATGTGTGTTACTGTAATTAACCTAATAAACAGCACAGCATATAAAACAACAGAAATATTATGCTGTTAATTAATGTTCAATAAAACTGAACAGTGAATATTCTACACCTTGTAGCTCTGCAGAAACCTGTGAAATTGTGTGTCAGTGATGAGATTTCTCTTGAAATTATTTAAACCTTTGGGCTCACACAGGTTTCAAACATTGTTTCTTTATAGAAAACTGATTTGATATGTTTAACATTCATAATAATTCTTAAAAATATCAACGTGTTATATTTTTGATAGACGCTGCTGAGCTGATCAACTGTGTGTTTATCATTATTATCCACCAGGTGGCGCCAAAGCGTTAAAACCAAAGCCACACTGATCCTCTCACCATCTACATTACCCACCCTGTAATATTCAAATGAATACATCAACATCTGTTTACACATCTGTTTCTTTTCTGCATGGATTAAATGTCCAAATCAGTCAAAACTATATGAATAAAACACTGAACCTAAAGCTTCAATCAGGAATTGATGTAAAGTGTAGGCCAGATTTAGTTTTGCAACAGCAACACCTTATCAAATAACAATAATAAGAAGACGGCAGTAAATCAAATGAACAGAATATTATAAGATTAATAATAATCAGCAGATAATCTGTTGGTTTCTATTGGTTGGAACTGAAAATGGGCTACAAAATTCAACATGTGGAGCTGATTTCAGTCACAGTCACACCTCCCTCTGAGTGTAACTGCCTCATCTTGTAGTCCTATGCTCTATATTCAGCACCTGAATGATTTCTAATAATTTCTGACTATTTCTGGTTCACTTCTCCTTAAATTGCTTAGTAACCACCATCTTCCTGAGTTGCTGCATCAGGTCTAATTTTAACTGATCAGCTCCAAATGCTAAGCCAGACGTCACCATGCAGAAAACAAAAGCAATATTTAGCAATGTTGATCATTTTCCGTGAACATGAATCGGCCATTTTAAACAAATGTGTTTTTGATCTGAGCTTCAACATGGTGTTCTTGGTTGGTTTGATCAAATATCTCTGAGGAAGTACGACGTGCAGTGTTTTGGTGGTAGACCTTCACTCAGAGAGCTGCCATTGAAGCGAGAGCTCATAGTCTTACATACTGTACAGTATATGGGCCAAATCTGGGCCACAGCTACAGTTTGATTTTAGTATTTCTGCCTGTTTTAGTAAAAATCCTATCAAGTGTAGAGAAAGGAGAGAAGTGAATTTGAGTGACCGATGTAAGAAACATCCAGTAGCTGGAATCTAAAGTTAACCTGTATTGTGGTGTGTGGAGCCAGCCAGCTAGTTAGCTAAGCTATGTTAGTGCAAGCACTAGTTTAACCATCTTATTATTTTTTATTTTTAAGTATTATTATTGTGTTATAGTGTTGTATTTGTAAAACCTACAGTAACACAAATGTTAAAGAAATTGTAATGTCACTATTTTTTTTAAACTGCTGAAATAACATAAGCTTGTGGCCATAATTGGGCCAGATGCTGGACAGCTGTGTTTGGTTTTAACTCATATCTACATTTAAGGGCCAATTAGATAAGTAATATACTTAAAAAAAGCACATTTACATACATGAACATTATATGTGATGTGTAAGTTTAGTTCAGTGTGATTGACTATTTAAAATTCTAAGGTTCCAGTGTGGAAAATTAAAGTTATCACTGTAGCTACAATAGCTTTATGGCATAACACTTGAAAAGCACATGCTA